GGAAAGTCAAGGCCAATAATTGGCGTCTGGACATCTGCGACGAAAACGATCCATTTAAATGAACGTCGTAGGTTTAAATTAAGCGTGGGCGAGCGTTGACCATACACGCGCATGGTGGTACCGTTTGTTGCGCGCAATGAACTAGTCGCCTCTTCGATAACATCATTAGAATCACAGGGGATAACGCTGACTTCTACGCCGGTGTCAACGAGATAGCGTACTCCCGCATTGTGATCAACGACAAAGAAAAGGCGACTGAGTCAGCGAGCAACGTCTGCCGCCCCTACGTGCTGACCTACCCGTTTCGCTGCGTGTTGCGCTTGAAGTAACAGTGCGGGTGACACGATCTGGCTTGCTGACCAAATCGCTCGTGGTACCAACATTAGCTTGACCTAAGGGGAGATTATCCAGGAGATTTCTAGGACGAGTGCGACTACTGGAACGACTTCGGCGGTTGGATCCGGACTGTGTTAGGTTCTCTAGTTGGTTGGTAAGTGCTGCTGCTTGCGTCTTAGTTCTGCTACCTCCGTACTGGAAGTAGTCTTAACCTGAGATACTTGGGCGTTGGATTTCCGAATGCGGTCGGCAATGTCGGCGAGGTGAGCAAGAGGCGCATCGTTTGCACACAAAGGGGAACGCATGTCACGTGGCAGTCGACGAAACCACTTCACTTTAAGAAAAGAGTCGCCAACAGAAAGAGGCTTAGCTAGAGCCTGCATCTTGTGCAGCAACTGCAAAGGCTTGCGATCATCTAGCTCGGTTTCCTTAAGAAGCTGGGTAACACGAGCATGGTCTGATATGCCAAATCGCTTTAAGACGACGGCCATAAGCTCATATTAACTGTTCTGACTTTCGGAAAGCTCCGAGTTGTCGCCGAGGTCATCGAGGACTTGCGGAGGAAGTGCTTAAACAACGCGGTGGAATTTCACGCCGTCAGACTTAACACTATGTAATGGAAACATAGATTCCAACTGGTTAAAGGGGGCCTTAGGGTTAGTCTCTCGGAAAGGCGGGATAAGGAAACGGAATCCAATAACCTGGTTGTCAGCGTTTGGGTGAAAGACCTTCAAGGTGAAAAAATTCCGGAGTGTGTGAATGTGAACGCAAGCAGTAAAGAGTAAAAGTAGAAAGGTAGAAAGAATAAGTTACCAAATAAGAAAAGTAATATTGGCATCAAACTCACGAAAAAATTCTTTTTAGAGGTCACCAATTATAGCCCGTTGATCGTGCGTTATATATTCGGCACGAGACTAGACGGCCAACCAAAGGCAATAGTAAAACACACAAAGTAAGCTAGGGAACAAGTTTTTTGGACGGGAAGAGCATTAGCTAATGCTAACAATAGGGCACCCGGAGAGAGCTACTTGGGAGAATTCCGTGGTGTTGAGTGCGTTGAGAGCGATGTTCGCAGTCGAGTCGCACTCCAAAGGTGGAGATCGTTTTCGTGTTTCCAACAAAAGGGAACAACGTTCCAACAGGCAAACCCAATAGTTCCCTTATACATAAGTTCAAGTTCAAGTTCAAGCGGGACTGGAACGCTAGGATTATCCCGTGAGTGTTCCATCTTCAGCGGGTCGTTGAACCAGGAGTTGGCGAACTTTGAAATACTGCTGGACCTAAAACAAAGACCGCATCACACCCTGTCCAAGCAAGTAATGCCCACCTATCGTGCCCTAGCAGTCCCTGCTGGGTCGGTTACGTGAAGCAAGAAAAAAAGTAAACTCAGAAGGCAAAAGCGAAAGTGGAAAGAGCTAAGCAAGTGGAATACCAAGATATTTGAGTCATTAAAAAAAGAACTGAAAAGTGAAGGTGATTCGGCTAGGAAAAAGGACAAGTTTGCTGTTGCCACCGAAGAGCATCGAGCTGGCGCGCAAAACCCTTAACCGTAGGTTCCCCAACCACGTGGTCTGGAAGCGAATTCCAGCAACCTATAACTCGGCGCGATAGAGGAGTTTCCGTCCTAAGCCTATCAGACCGTGGCTTATGCAGTTTCAATGAGTGACCGCGGAGATTAGGTAACGTAGCGGGACTAAATAGCCCTGACAAGTCCGGGCCAATCTTACCCGTCAAAATACGATAAGTGAAAATCAGGTCCCCTCTTATCCTTCGGTAGTGTATTGAGTACATCCCCAAACTGAACAAGCGTTCAAAATACGTCTGTCCCCATAGATCCCGCACTAACCGAGTGCCCACTCGTAACACCTCCAAGTCCATTTTGTCTCGGTCAAGACATGGTGGACAGGCCTGAATACAATATTCCAGGTGGGGTCGGACGAATGCCAAAAATAGCATCACAAACAAAATGGCCGTTAAGATTCCGAAAGAGCGGCGGATAAACCACATCATACGAGACCCTCGACAAGCAGCCTTCTTCCAGTTGTCTCCAGAATGAAGTGCTGATGCGTGTACGACTCCTAAATCAACCTTCTGAGTGACAACAGGGAGTTCACAACCGCCGACAACATATCGGGCTGCTGTTGGCGCTTGCTTGATGCGGTGGACCGATTCGCAGCTCCAGCTTTTCGAGAGGACGACACGAGCATTGGCTCTAGTCATGACGCAATAAACGAATCCGCTGCAATTACTCCAGCTCACTTGGCGAAGCAACGCGCCGTGTCATCCGCCAAACCGGTCGAAACTGAGGTCTCGTCGAAGACGTGTGGAGTGAATACGCCTCGTCGAGGTGATTCTTTTACTGATAGTAGCGTTATCTTTCGTATCGTTGCTGAATCCGCGGCAGCTCTTCCAAAGGAGCGCATGCTGGATGACCTCCAGTGGTTCAGGCTCTGCGTCAACAAGATGATTCCGCCTGGATTCTCCAGGGTCAATATCAGGAAAATAACAAGATTGGGGAATGTCCCTGTTGACACGCCAAATCCGCGACCTCGACTACTTCGTGTAGTCCTCTCAACCCCGGAGGAACGCAAAGCGTTAATGCGCTTTGCATTCAAACTCAAGGGTAGTAATGTCAGCGTTCAGCCGGACCTCCCACTGGCAGATCGACTGAAGTTAAAGGAAGCCATCAAAAGCCTCAAAAGCAGGCGGGCGGCTGGTGAGCAAGGCTTTCGTCTTGTGGGTTTTCAGTTGGTCAGCCGGAAGTCAAATTCTGCCCTACCAGAACCTTTCCTGGCAACGTACGACCCAGGGCTGGTCGTGCCGAGTTCCTTCGGGTAGTGCTTAGTAATGTGCGAAGCCTAAGGAACAGACGACAAATGGTTGCCTCTTTCCGTTACGAAGGCAGGCTGCAGCTATCCAGTGGTATTGAAAACACGCATGTGAGCGGACCACTCAGCTCTGTGGCCAATTCATGCAACAACTTCGGATGAATTGAATCACGACCGGAAGCTGTAGAGGGATTAATGCCTTGCAGTAGCTCGAAGACCTGAGTCTCCGTTATGCTAAATTCAGCGAAGCAAGAATCCTCTGGAACTCTTGAAACCAATTCAACCTGTGGTAAAGATGTCTCCCGAGCAAAGACCCCAGTATACTGATCACTCAGTATACTAGCCTTGTCATAGTCAGTTCGCGCACGGGTCCCGTCTGCTCGCAATAAAGCTGGTATAGACAGTTTTGCCCCGCTGCGTATTTCAACGTAAGCAATATACTTCTTGGGATTAGCTGCGGCCGAGTCTGCTAAACCCTGCTCGTATTGCAGACGAGCAGTTCAGTGATGTTGCTTACATTTATTTCTAATCTCTCGATAACTATCATAGGCGTTGGCTGGTGGAGCCGCTTGGTAGGTTCGCCAGCATCTAGACCGTTTCTTCAGTAGGTACTGGCCTGTGGTATCTATCCATGGAGGCTGTGCCCTTAACCCTCTTTTCCTACTGAGTGAAATATAGGGAGTGACAACCTCAGTAAGGTATGCCTTAAATTTATTCCAGGCCAAATGGACAGAATCCGCCATCGAGATCTCACAGTTCAGAACTGAAGCATTAGTTCGCATTGCACTGAAGTTCGCCCGCCAAATATTCGGAAGTAATTCAACAGCGGTCTCTTGGTGCCTTGAAATAGCACATCGAAAGGATATGCATGCGTGATTGCTGGACCCTAGAGGTGCACCGTGTGAAACGTCAGTCACGAAGTCGAGGGACTTAGCGAAAACTAAAGCTAAAGTAGATGGTATTTGGTTGTCCATATGCCTAGTGGGAAAGTCAACGAACTGGCGCAAAGGCACTTGGAGAGTCAGTTCAAGGAAGTCTGCACCGAATGTCCCTAATGCCGAATTACAAGAAAGATCGGCCCAACAGACTTCCGGGAGGTTGAAATCCCCTAGAACTAAACACTTATTCGCAGACTGAGTGCGAATAAATTCAAGTAGCCCCTGGAAGAACTTCCAGGACTTCTGTATATCACTATAACTGTAAACTGGGTAGAGGAAGTGCACAAAACAGCCGATAGGGCTTCAACAGTCTGATCCGACGACTGGAAGGTGCAGGTCCTCAACACATCTAAGTTACAGCTCACATACAGTACAACGCCTCCGCCTTGGCGAGCAACGGAGCGATCAGTTCTAAGCAGCGCGTAGCTATAATTTGAATGTTTTAGAATTGTTTACACAGTCATACTGGGGAATCTCCAGGTCGCTACACTCTATCCATCCGAGTAGTGAACGACTGGAGCAACTTATCGGAGGCTGTGATCAGTGCTTATACCGGAGCGTCCTATCCTCCACTTGGAAATAATCTTTTTTCGGCCGTGTGATTCCGGTACACACGGTTGTAGGTGGCGGGAGATAAATTATAGGCCATTAAACCCATAGTTATGTTAAGTAATAATGTAGGATGCTTGTTGAAATACATACCGCGGACTTCCTTAAACCATTTTCTATATTCCGTTTTCTTTTTAACAACTCACTTACTGTTATATGTCAAGTTTTCCAATTTTATTCAACTTTGCAAATTGGGAATGGTTTAATCAGTTATTGGATGTTTGGGGTACTGACCTCTTTCTAAATACGTTGTGCAAGTAGTTTACCCAACCCTACAGACAGTCCAGTTCTGTGAGTACTACGCGGTGACTCAATTTTTTGGCGTGCCATACTGGTCGAGATTTTCAGCTGAAATAACGTGGAAAACAGTGTTTGAATAAACACTTGAAACGAAATTTGATTATTGTCAACTTTTCTCTGATCCAAGGTATCTTGGATCGATTAAAGTGGTATTGGCCAAAGCGTCTTTGGCGCTTACTGGTAATGGTTCCGGTTGTTCTCAGTTTTAATCCCGTTTTGCACCCTGTTTTTGCCTTTTTATTGCGGTCGTTTTCCTATTGTATGCGTGTTGTAATTCTACTCTGTTTTCCACATGAACATGGCTGTCTCGCTAAACACCGAGACGGATGGACCTATGGGGTTTAGAGTGTCGCTTGTACCGGGAGCCCAGATAGCGATTCGAGAAGACGGATCGAGTTGCAGGGAAACTTTTATTGGTTCCCTGTTATCTAGCTATAAAAGAACGACACCGTGGACGCTCTAGCTAGGGGACCGGAGCATGCACAGCACACAGGGCAGTCGCGGGTTGCAACCGAAGCGAGCGTCAAGCAAAAAGGGCAATGAGCAAGTCAAGCATTCGAACTCAGCAATCAGTTGAACAAACCACACCGGTTGCCTTAGTGTACAATGGAATAATTTTAGTTAGCATTTTACACAGGCAAACCGGGGAATCTACAGACTGCTACAGGGGTCCTCGTTTGATGAGTCTACTGCAGCTTGCGGACAGGTTAACTGTTCAGAGCCAGTAACAGATGTTTCTGGCGGTATGTAGTGTGACGTCTGCTGCCGCTAGCATCACGAAAGCTGTACCGTCCTACAAGCTGACCAGTACAAAATGCTATCATCAATAGTTGGTATGCATTATATTTGATATCATTTGACCATAACCCCAGTGGTTTAAATGCATCGGCAGGTAGTTTTATTTGGTCAGTTTCGGTTTTGTAACCTTGGTCGCTGGTACCGCTTGGTTTCGTGCTATTGTGTAGCTCCCTTGAAACTGCGTTTCCGCAGGCGCACCTACCAGGTTTTCCTATTATAGATTGTTTAATACATATGTGTTCATTTTCAGCATGTCACGTCGACAAAGGTATCAATTAATTGCACAGTTTCCGTCTCGTAGCACCATTTATCGTGCAGCAAAAACAATGGCATCAGGATTCAGCTACGAAGAAGTGCTTCTGTTGTCAGCAGCTAAACGACAGAAGGGTGAGCGGATCTTTAACATATATTAAATATCATTGCTTACACAGTTCAGATACCTACTAACTTTACCAACTGCTGTGAAGATGACAGGGACACCGATGAAGTGGTCCATCACTTGAGAAAATTGATTGCGAAATCTCAGGTACCAGCAGCATTTGTTCGTCCACTGTTGGGGCTTGTGCAACCATGGTAGCCATTTTTGCCAAAGGATTACCGGACGCTGATGCGCACCCCACGGAACTCCCGCATACGCGTTGTTGCACCGGGCACTTACGGTCACGTAGGTCTGCTGAGAGGTTTACAAGGTGTATGCTCTGCTCTTTCGCTAGCCGCTGATGACACTGTTGACTATCAGTTGCATGCATTGCATTGCACTTAGCCTTATTTTCAGATGAGTTATGTCTCACGCGATCACAACTGGTCAGCCATCGCCGCGTGTCCGAAGCAACGTTGCAGATGCTGCAACGACAGTCCCAAAGCCTTGCACCGGGACTTTCTCTGCCATTCATCTCTCTCAGTGAGCTTAAGAGATATGGTGAACGGCTGAAGGACCAAGATTTCAAAAACAGATTCGTAACTTCGTCTTATTATTCCACGATTTTCAGGTCAACCATTTGTGTGCTTTGCACGGTGCTAACGGGCAAATCGTCGTCCGGGGTACCATGGAGCGGCTAATGATAAGATCAGTTGCCGCGGAGATGGATTACTCCGGCGCAGGAGGTACGTTTGCATTCAGGCGAACAAATATAAACGGTAGGTTGACAAAAGTAATCCATAAAACTACAAAGCCATCATTCGGCAACGCACGGGTGATGCAGCCTCGGATGTTGACATTACGCGCCACATCAAAACGTGGTTGCATTCCGCACGGCACAAGAGACCGCCTGTTGAGCGAAATAAAGTATGCAGTGCGAATGAGGAGAGTCCCCTGCTTCCTTATGCACAACTTTAGCCTCCTAGCTTGACACTCTCGGAAGCGGATTAACCATATAGACAAAGCCGCTTTCTGATACTAATGTTCTTTGTACTACACCGTTTCATGTACATGCGCGTGCAGAACCTTCTTCCCACGTAGTAGCTGTAGTCTGAGTCACACCAGCCAGGTAACGTATAAAACGCGCTTGCGAATTATGTATACTAAACAAAATTACATAAGTTTGAATATATCATAGGCACCGGTGAGCGCCACCAGTCTGTGTTAGTGCTTCTTGATTCACTGCTGTCTCTGTTTGGCTGCCGCTTGTCCGTTGCCCGTTTTTCCCGAGATTCCCACAGTTACATCCGCCAAAACAAGAAGGTGTATCCACTGGGACTGGCCGACCCATCCTCAAAACGTTTGGCCCTTTCTCCAGGAAATGAATAACCCACACACTGGTCAAATGAGCTCATTCCGCCATTCCGGAGGCGCTACCTTCACGGGGTCTAAACAACTGGGTTTAGCTTGCCTCGTACTCCGAGAACAATTTACTCACCCGGAATAATATATGTACATGGATCCCCCGTTCCACAACCGAAGACAAACAACTCTGGCGTAATTAACTTCACTGCCTCAAACATTCCTATTCGCCAGTCACCTGGAGCTGTTCTGATGTCATTTCACGGACAGCGTTGCGCACGTATACGTGGCTATTCTGATGGTCTTCCATGGAATTTTCACTTGGCTATGGAAACAGTTACACTTACTTACATTTGCAAGAATTCCAAATCCACTTTGCGGAGAATGGCGTTTTTACCTATTAAGGACATATTCAGCCACAATAAACAACTTCACTCACCGACCCCATGACAAGTCCAGCGAGGATAGCTAGGCACGGTTTGCGAGTCCAACAAGAATATAATAGAAGAGCCGGCCTCTATTAACAATGTGTTTACTCACCTGCATCATTATCATTCGACTCTTCGAATCTTGCACCATTGACCGGCCCCAACGACTGCTGCCGTATCAGTACTAAGCAATCCGGCCAACAAACGAAGAATTTTGGCTGTCAACCGACTGCGAATAATAGAATGCAAAATCGGTCTATACGATGCATAACCGACTTGCACTACTGTTCAACGAAAGCTACGGCAGTGTTCCAGGACGTGGTGGGTTTTCGCCTGGCAAGCGTTCTCCCTATAAAAAGCCACAAATGTCCGCTTAACAACACTGCAACGTGGCGGATGTGACTCGCCACAAAATAAAGTCACAGCTAAGCATTTCACACTGACGCCGTCCTTAGCCTTCTACATCGAACCTGTGCAACTAATTCTGCTATGAAGAATGCTTTGTTGGAGCACAGATCATCTCTATCTCGTAATGGTTATTCGTTGCAACAAAACCTTGTTTAGGCTACTGTGCTCACGGATCACTACCTGGCGAAATTACCACCAACTTGTGTTTTGACGGATATTTGCGCGCCACAGCGCCATAATGTCCCTGGGTCCGACTATTACCTGACAGTATGCTCACTCAGGCGGACAACATATTTTCTTTTATTACTTTCATTAAAACGAAATGTTTTAACATTCCACAGAATGTATGCTTGTATGCATATTTGATCATGCCTTTACAGGTGTGTCTCGTTTTACCGAGAATATACTATTTATTTATTTATTTTACCCAGTTTTCATTTTCTGTTGCTTTGCGAGGTTTTCAGGTACGCGGTTATATCCATTTCGTTTCCCGACCAACAGCTTGGAGCGTCGCCTAGGTGGGTTTCCACGTCCAGCAAATACGGCAACTGGTACTGGGTGAACACTAACTCCGAACCGTCCATATATTAGCTAGTTGCTAAGTGCGTAGTCGTGTGATGTCCGTATTCGGATACCCAGGGTAGGCAAAGACGGGATCTGGACCTACCGGATTTCCACGCGTAGTGGTGCATTTCTATTGGTCAACGCCAGCATCATTTTTATTGTCCCCCCTAAACTGGACAAAGTCCCTTTTTAGCCGTCTCACGGTAGTAGTTCCTGTCCAGTTTAGCCTAATGCTCTCATAGGAACGTTTAGGATGCTAAACTGGACAGGAGCTGGACATGTGCTACCAGGGGCCCGGCTGTCACCGGTGCTAAACTTTCAGCGCTGGCTTCAAGGTTGGCAGATGTTAAGGAGGCGATAGCTAAACTCGCCTCTATTGCTTCGCTCGATACGAAAATGGATTTGACTTTAAAATCCCTGAATATTTCGTTTGAAGACACTGCAATAGACGGCAACATTGCTGGCGATCCATCCACTGGAGTCTGGCACTCGGGCATAAAGTCCCACATCCTACCGGCCAGTCCAGGTAACATTGCTGGCTGTCCTCATGAGCGGATCGAAGTGAAGCAAAATAGGGTGCGGAAATACCAGAAGCCCTCTGCTAAACCCAGAGAATTAGTTGCCATGGCATCGAAAAAGATGCCGTCTTTGACAGTCGTAAAGTCGTCTGACCATTGTACTCAGAACTTTCCGAAGATGCTGACCGTCTCGGCCGCAAGTGAACCAGCACGTTCCGACGAAGTGCTGGTAACTGCTCAATGCGATACAAAGTCAACGGCCCCTGCTCCAGTGAACCAGAAGAAGAAGCGGACTAGATCTGCTCGTAAAACTTTGAAGGGGCTTGAAGACCCAGGAACTAATAAGACGCCGGCAATAGAGTGGAAAACCTACGCTACCGTTGTTTTGGCGTCATTTGTGAAGACAGGGACAGTCCCACCTCCAGTGGTGAAAACAGCTGGTATAGGTGTCAACTCCAAGGCACGTGGGTAAACACTCCCCGTCGTGGCGACTCATTCACGGATATTAGTGTTATATTCCGTAACGTTGTTGAATCTGCGGCCGCTCTCCCAAGGGAACGCATCTTGGATGACATCAAGTGGCTGAAACTGTGTGTCAGCAAGCTGCTTCCACCTGGCTTCACTGGTGTCACTGTCAGAAAGCTAACCAGATTGGTGAACGTCCCTATCGCTTCGCCAAATCCACGACCCCGACTAGTTCGCGTGGTCCTTTCTACCCCGGAGGAACGCAAATCATTACTGCGGCTTGCGTTCAAACTTAAGGGTAGTGGTGTTAGCGTTCAGCCAGACCAAGCACTGGCAGATAGACTGAAGTTAAAGAAGGCTATCAAAGACCACAAAACTAGACGGGCGGCTGGTGAGCAAGGCCTCCGTCTGGTGGGTTTTCAGGTGGTCAGCCGGAAGTTACTTTCCGCCCTAGCAGAACCCATCCTGATAGCGCATGATCCAGGGATGGTCGTGCCGAATTCCTTAAGGTAGTACTTAGCAACGTGCGTAGCCTAAGGAACAAGGTGCACGAGTTGGGTCTACTTGTAGACAAATCTCTTCCCGACATACCACCTTTCAATGAAGCGTGGTAGTCTTCGGATATCACGAAGGGTTAGGTGCATTTTACCTGGCTACGCGCTGCTTAGAACTGATCGCTCCGTTGCTCGCCAAGGCGGAGGCGTTGTACCGTATGTGAGCTGTAACTTAGATGTGTTGAGGACTTGCACATTCCAGTCGTCGGTTCAGACTGTTGAATCCCTATCGGCTGGTTTGTGCACTTCCTCTACCCAGTTTACAGTTATAGTGATATACAGAAGTTCTGGAAGTTCTTCCAGGGGCTACTTGAATTTATTCGCACTCAGTCTGCGAATAAGTGTTTAGTTCTAGGGGATTTCAACCTCCCGGAAGTCTGTTGGGCCGATCTTTCTTGCAATTCGGCATTAAATAAATAAATAAATAAAGTTTTTATTCTCGACAAGGCGAGGCACGCCTTTACAGGCATGATCATTATGACAACAATGCGTGGTCTAGAATGTGCAAGAATAAGCTATGTTTGCCGTACCAGTGTATGTTTATGTAGGGGGTATGTTACTATGTAACTGTGTGTGTGTGGGTGTGTCACTGTGAGGTTCCTGTTTGTAACTGTGCTGCTCTAACATTGACTATCATATCGTCGGCAATGCTCGAGTAGAAGATGTATGTCCGTACGTTGGAAAGGATTATTCGGATACCCACGGGGCAGTAACTTTATTTTGTGGCGAGTCACGACCGCCACGTCACAGGGTTGTTAAGCAGACATTTGTGGCATTTTATAGGGAGAACGCTTGCCAGGCGAAAACGCACCACGTCCAGGAACACTGCCACCGAACTATTTGCTGAAACGGGTCAAACCCGAACCACCCAGCTGGCACCACGAGGAGGTTGTTCGGCTAGCCAGACAAGATTAGGGACATTCGGTGCAGACTTCCTTGAACTGACTCTCCAAGTGCCTTTGCGCCAGTTCGTTGACTTCCCACTAGGCATATGGACAACCAAATACCATCTACTTTAGATTTGGTTTTCGCTAAGTCCCTCGACTTCGTGACTGACGTTTCACACGGTGCACCTCTAGGGTCCAGCAATCACGCATGCATATCCTTTCGATGTGCTATTTCAAGGCACCAAGAGACCGCTGTTGAATTACTTCCGAATATTTGGCGGGCGAACTTCAGTGCAATGCGAACTAAGGCTTCAGTTCTGAACTGTGAGATCTCGATGGCGGATTCTGTCCAGTTAGCCTGGAATAAATTTGAGGCATACCTTACTGAGGTTGCCACCCCTATATTTCACTCATGAGGAAAACAGGGTTAAGGGCACAGCCTCCATTGATAGATACCACAGGCCAGTACCTACGCAGGAAACGGTCTAGATGCTGGCAAACTTACCAAGCAGCTCCACCAGCCAACGCCTATGATAGTTATCGAGAGATTAGCAATAAATGGAAGCAACATCTCTGAACTGCTCGTCTGCAATACGAGCAGGGTTTAGCAGACTCGGTCGCAGCTAATCCCAAGAAGTATATTTGCTTACGTTGAAATACGCAGCGGGGCAAAACTGTCTATACCAGCTTTATTGCGAGCAGACGAGACCCGTGCGCGAACTGACTATGGCAAGGCTAGTATACTGAGTGATCAGTATAGTGGGGGCTTTGCTCGGGAGACATCTTTACTACAGGTTGAATTGTTTCAAGAGTTCCAGAGGATTCTTGCTTCGCTGAATTTAGCATAACGGAGACTCAGGTCTTCGAGCTGCTGCAAGGCATTAATCCCTGTAAAGCTTCCAATCATGATCAATTCATCCGAAGCTGTTGCATGAATTGGCCACTGAGCTGAGTGGTCCGCTCACATGCGTGTTTTCAATATCACTGGATAGCTGCAGCCTACCTTCGGAATGGAAGGAGGCAATCATCTGTTCGATTTTTAAGGGCGGTGACAAAGCTCTACCCGCGAACTACCGGCCTGTCAGTTTGACAAGCGTAGTAGTCAAGTTGTTTGAAAAGCTGATAAGGGATTCAATGGAGATCCACCTGAATAGATTCAACCTTCTCAGTGTTGCGCAACATGGATTCCGCAAGGGATTTTCATGTCAGACTAATCTACTTTTAGCTCGTGAAAGCTGGGCCGAAGCGGTAGACAGTGGCCATGCTGTAGACGTGCTATTCGTAGGTTTCTCGAAAGCTTTTGTCACTGTTCCACAGCTTCGGCTCTCACTAAAATTGAGATCTTACGGGATATCTTTCGCGCCCTTCAAGGGGTGTCTGCCTTCCTTGAGGGGAGGAAACAGGGCTTACGGGTGGGGCGTAGCCTTTCGCTCAGGCAAGCTTTCCTTAGTGGCGTTCCACAGGGCTCGGTATTGGGGCAATTGTTGTTCGCGACCTATGTAACTGACTTGCCGGGAGAGCTAGGGGTGTCATCACCAACGTTTGCTGACGACCTTAAGCTCTGGAATATTGTGGATATCCCGGGGGTCTTGAGGCAATTCAGCGTGCCTTGGATAGGCTCTGGGAGTGGTATACCTTATCGTTGATGCCCATAAATAAGGCTAAATGCTCTGTTCTCCGAATCGGAGCTGCAAATCCTGCCACCCGATATGTTGTCGGCGGTTGTGAACTCCCTGTTGTCACTCAGAAGGTTGATTTAGGCGTCGTACACGCATCAGCACTTCATTCTGGAGACAACTGGAAGTAGGCTGCTTGTCGAGGGTTTCGTATGATGTGGTTTATCCGCCGCTCTTCCGGAATCTTAACGGCCATTTTGTTTGTGATGCTATTTTTGGCACTCGTCCGACCCCACCTGGAATATTGTATTCAGGCTTGTCCACCATGTCTTGACCGAGACAAAATGGACTTGGAGGTGTTACGAGTGGGCACTCGGTTAGTGCGGGATCTACGGGGACAGACGTAGTTTGAACGCTTGTTCAGTTTGGGGATGTACTCAATACACTACCGAAGGATAAGAGGGGACCTGATTTCCACTTATCGTATTCTGACGGGGGGATTGGCCTGGACTTGTCAGGGCTATTTAGTCCCGCTACGTTACCTAATCTCCGCGGTCACTCATTGAAACTGCATAAGCCACGGTCTGATAGGCTTAGGACGGAAACTCGTCTATCGCGCCGAGTTATAGATTGCTGGAATTCGCTTCCAGACCACGTGGTTGGGGAACCTACGGTTAAGGGTTTGGCGCGCCAGCTCGATGCTCTTCGGTGGCAACAGCAAACTTGTCCTTTTTCCTAGCCGAATCACCTTCACCTTTCAGTCCTTCTTTTAATGACTCAAATATCTTGGTATTCCACTCGCTTAGCTCTTTCCACTTTCTCTTTTGCCTTCTGAGTTTACTTTTTTTCTTACTTCACGTAACCGACCCAGCAGGGACTGCTAGGGCAGGATAGGTGGGCATTACTTGGTTGGAGAGGGTGTGATGCGGTCTATGTTTTAGGTCCAGCAGTATTTCAAAGTTTGCCAACTCCTGGTTCAACGACCCGCTGAAGATGGAACACTCACGGGATCTATCCTATCGTTCCAGTCCCGCTTGACTTGAAATTGAACCTTTGAGAACGCAGATACCGGTTGTCCTAATGAACAACAGCCCGCATTCAAAATCGCGCCAGTGCCGGATAGGACGGTCCCTCAGTTAGGGAAGTGCTAATTTTTGTCATGGCGGGAAAGGGTTTCGCTACCGTTGTCATCGGTAACATCCAACTTTGTTTGAGTAATTGCAGTTTATTCTTTTATTTTGGTGGACTTTAGGTGCGGGGAAATAGAAAATAATGCAATATGGATTTGCTTTGTGAAAGCGGTTATGATAAATTAAAGTAATGATTACAGTGTAATGAAATCGAAACCGCCATGGGTCGTTTTAAAGACTACTTAAATGATCTCTTTCTTCTCTCTTTCATTTGCAGATTCTCGAGAAACCGCAGATATATGAAAACGTGCGAAGGCACTTTACCGACCCAAAAACTCTGACATTCCCTTTTTGTTTTGATTGTCTTATCAAGGTCCTGTACACTCCTCTGTTTTTTCCTGTTGTGGATAAACGTGCTTCCTCCGTGTCTGCTCGTTTTGCCCGTGTCACGCTTGCGTATTGCGATTCTGTGAGTGCCCGGTTGCTGTGTGTGCTTCTCGCGTCGTGTGTCCGCTGTGATTGACCGTGCTGCTTTCTACCGCCGTTGATTCGTTCCGTGCCCGTTTTCCAGCTCCCGCCGGTACCCCATTCCAGGAACTCCGTTACATTTGGTGACAGAGGTGGGATCGCAATGGAGAAGGAAAAGGTCAGCCCCCCAAAAATGAAATCGCAACTTCGTGTTGTTACCCAGGATTTTTCGGATTTTCGACCTGTGCCGAGGCAACCCCCAGTTTTTCGGCCTGGGGATGATTTTGACAATTGGGAGTTTCATGTATCCTTATACCTTTCCAGTATTCCCGAAAAGCATGTGGGCCCTTACGTTCTCAGCTTTTTGAGCGAGGAAGCCACGCGCCTCTTCCGCGCAACTGGAATCCCTCCAACGGCGCCAGCTTCAGAAATATGGGAATCACTGCGCGGACTGTTTCGGAAACAGGAAGCGGCAGTTCTGTATAGACAGAAATTCGCTGCTCGTACCCAACAGTCGGGAGAAACGGTCGAAGCGTTCGCGCGCGCACTTCAGGAGCTCTCCTTGAGAGCCTTTCCCGATCTCTCCAACGCCGAGCGGGATAAGTGGCTGGCTGAGCGTTTTTGCACCGGGTTGCACGACAGGTCCCTACGTCACCAACTAGCTGGGATGCTGCCATGCAGTTTCACGGATGCCATGAACAAGGCACAGTTCCACGAGTCCCTGGATTCAATGGACGAACGCGACGAGTATGGACGGGCCACTTTGTGTTCGGCACTGAGGAACGTGTCCATTTACGACAGCAGAGCATCTAACTTCAACTCCACTCCGTCCAGGCGCGATTGTTCGTACTGCCGTCGCTTTGGAAATCGTGCGCAATTTTGCGGACATAACCCACCGATCAAGCCGCGACGTTCGCAAGGTAAGTCACGTCTTCATCCATCCGGCTTCCTTGCGTCCACTTTTGTTCGTAATGCTCCGTTTCGACCTTTAACCACCGTTGGCTGCCTCAATGGTTTTAACATCCAGTTCTTGCTTGACACCGGTGCGTCATGTTCGTTGTTGCGTCTAGAAATAGCCGACCGCCTCGGGGGTCACCGCGCCACTACTCAGAGAAAGCCACGAGTGTTAACGGCCAACGGGGCTGAGTTGCCCCTCGAATTCGCAGTGTTGGCTCAAGTCCAACTGGAACATGTTACTGCAGTACACGAGTTTCTAGTTTGTCGTAACCTAAGTTGGGACGCCATCCTAGGGATGGATTTTTTGGCTAAGCATGGAAGCTTGCTGCAGCTTGGTACCGCGAATCTTTTACCAAAGTCCACTCCTGTCAACACGCAGCTGTGTCACTCACGGGGAGTTTGCACAGTTTTAGAAGCCACCTCGAAACCATCACAGTTCGAGACTGATGTCATTGAGCCTTTGCGTAACCACAGTGGTATTTCCCCAGACTCAAAAGCCTCACTTCTCTCTATGCTGCGTAATTATGAAGATCTGTTTTGCGACACTCAACTTGGGCGATCCAACGTCATCCAACACGAAATTGATACAGGTAGTCAGCATCCTATTCGCCAGCGGGCGCGAAGGGTGCCCATTCATTACGAAGCCCAGCTAGATCGCATGATCCAGGAGATGCTTGATATGCGCGTCATTCGCCCATCGACATCGCCTTGGTCGTCTCCTATCGTACTCGTGAAGAAGAAGGATGGTTCTCTACGACTTTGTGTAGATTACCGAAAGCTAAAAGAAGTCACCCGTAAAGACCCCTTCCCCCTCCCTCGCATTGACGCCACATTTGATGCTCTTCATGGTGCGCGATGGTTTACTACTCTCGATTTGGCCGCCGGGTATTGGCAAGTGGAGGTCCGTCCGTCCGATAGGGAGAAAACCGCGTTCATTGTACCATCCGGGCTGTATGAATTCGAGACCATGCCCTTCGGGTTGGCTAATGCCCCAGCTACCTTCCAGCGCCTGATGCAGAAAGTATTGGAGGGCCTCGTACCCAAGGAATGTTTGATATATTTGGATGATGTGATAGTGCATGGCAGGTCGGTCGAAGAGCACAACACCCGTCTACGTACAGTTTTGGAGCGGTTACGGCAAGCTGGATTAAAGCTGAAGGGACGGAAGTGCCGTTTTCTCCGCGAGCGGGTTAACTTTTTGGGACACGTAATCACGCCAGACGGCATTCAAACCGACCCCGACAAGTGCGAACGGATAAGGTCGTGGCCACAACCCAGATCAGTTGATGAATTGCGTAGTTTTTGGGACTGGCATCTTACTACCGGAGATTTGTGCGCAGTTTTGCTTCGATCTCGGCGCCGTTACATCGCCTGACGGAAAAGGGACGGAAGTTTGTTTGGACGGACGAGTGTGCCGGCGCTTTCGGACGACTGAAAGAATGCCTCACGTCGCCACCGCTGTTAAGTCTCCCGGATACTTCCGAACGAGCTGGGCCTTTTGTCCTAGACACCGACGCCAGTAACGAGGCGATTGGCGCTGTTTTGTCGCAGAAAACTTCTGTCGGGGAAACCGTGATCTTTTATGCTAGCCGCCGACTGGACAAGCGAGAGCGTAAGTATAGCACAACGAGACGTGAGATGTTGGCCTTGGTGTATTTCTTGAAGTATTTTCGACCATATTTACTCGGAAAACCTTTCCTTGTGCGGACTGACCATCAATCTCTGCAATGGTTACAAAACTTCCGTGACCCGGAGGGACAAGTCGCGCGGTGGCAAGAACGCCTACAAGAGTACGATTTTACCTGTGCGTACCGGCCGGGAGCACGGCATGCCAACGCGGATGTCCTTTCTCGAATTCCCGCTCTGGATGAAATAAATGCAGTTCTACACCACTCGGAAACTGATACAACGTGGTCAGAGGATCAAGCCCAGGACCCATATATATCTAACATTTATATGCGGCAAGTGAAAGGATCGTCTAAACCATCGGGTACGGAAATGCAATCCCGTTCGAAAGACGAACGCTCACCATGGGACCACTGGAGCCGATTGAGAATCATTGGTGGGACGCTGTTCCTCATGGATGACCTGGGCCCGAAAGTGATTACTCCTATGTCGAGAGTGCCGGGCGTACTACAAGCAGTCCATCAGCAGTTAGGTCACGCTGGCCAACTAAAGACGGAGACAGCCATACGTCAACGGTATTGGTGGCCAGGAATCCACGCCGACGTCGTGAAGCTATGTAACGCCTGCGAAATCTGTGCCGCTATCAAATCGAAGACCCCCCTATCCCGGGCCCCATTGGAACCGATAGTGGCCACGTCCCCAGGTCAGCGAGTCGGAGTCGATCTAATGGGGCCTTTGCCAGTCACAAGGAACGGGAACCGCCAACTCCTTGTTCTTATAGATTATTTTACGAAATGGTGCGAGGCCATACCTATCAAAAATCCGGATGCGGCAACGGTTGCGTCAGCCATTGTAAATGAGTGGATTGCCCGCTATGGCGCACCGCTGTCACTGCATTCAGATCAAGGCGCCGTCTTCGAGAGTCACCTGCTTCAGGAGGTGTGTCGGCTGCTCTCGGTGAGGAAGACACGTACCACATCGTATCATCCACAAGGGAATGGATTAGTAGAGCGCACCAACCGAACTATAAAAGGGATTTTGCAGAGTTTCCTGGAGCGGCACCAGTCAGATCGATGGGACGAAGCTATTCCACAATGCATGATGGCGTATCGAGCGTCTGTGCATGCAACCACGGGGTATTCTCCAGCCTTCCTGACATTTGGTCACGAGCTTCGTTTGCCTCTGGAGCTGATATCCCCTATTCCCCCAATCGAGGCTTGTTCTCTGTTAGACTACGTACGACAGCTTGGCGAACGTCTTCGATCAGCCTTTCTGTGTGCGGGAGAACACGCAAGGATAGCACAGCATCGTCAGAAAGTATGTTATGATCGGCACAGTAGGGGCCCTGAATATCACATTGGAGATCGCGTATGGTTGCACCGCCCAAGACCTCCGCCTGGCGCAGCAGCGAAGTTTCACCGACAGTGGCAAGGGCCATACGAGATTGTGTTCGTCCGTTCACCCACGGTGTATGTCGTCCGAGATGTCGCTCAACCAAATTCCGACGTTCTGACCGTGCATTACAATCAGCTGAAACCAGCGGGATCTTCAGCCTCTACTCCGAAGGAGGAAGTCGTCCCACCCGGATGCCTACTGATCGTGGAACACACTGTGGAGATACCCCCGAAGGCGGCTCGGCGAGTATTCAGGGCACTGAGACACTGAGGACAGTGTCTTCGCCGGAAGGGGGAGTGGTGTAATTAAATCGAAACCGCCATGGGTCGTTTTAAAGACTACTTAAATGATCTCTTTCTTCTCTCTTTCATTTGCAGATTCTCGAGAAACCGCAGATATATGAAAACGTGCGAAGGCACTTTACTGACCCAAAAACTCTGACATTCCCTTTTTGTTTTGATTGTCTTATCAAGGTCCTGTACACTCCTCTGTTTTTTCCGGTTGTGGATAAACGTGCTTCCTCCGTGTCTGCTCGTTTTGCCCGTGTCACGCTTGCGTATTGCGATTCTGTGAGTGCCCGGTTGCTGTGTGCGCTTCTCGCGTCGTGTGTCCGCTGTGATTGACCGTGCTGCTTTCTACCGCCGTTGATTCGTTCCGTGCCCGTTTTCCAGCTCCCGCCGGTACCCCATTCCAGGAACTCCGTTACAACAGGCGTTGTTGAAGTTCGCGGCATAATGGAAAGTAGGTAAATGCTAAATAAAAGTGTAGTGAAAACGGCTGTTTTATCTAGCACATAAGTGTTGATACAATTGTATTATGTATGTAAAGTTTATGCTTGCATTAAGGTACTTGCTTGGATAGAGGGTATACCTACCTCTTGTCTGATTATTGTATTTTTTATTTTTTAGAATCGCGATGATTGGAAGCGAAATTTACAACTAATATACCTTACCAACTACTAGTTTTTGTACCTGCTTAAGCAAAAAGCGACCTATACACATCTCTTTCAAATCCATTTATGAAAGCATCACCATTTAGCCTGGTGTACCGGAACACAAAGTCCCTCCAGGCCGATTTTTCATGTCGAAAATTAGCCACTCTCCCTCAGTTGACCAAGCGAGCACAATATCAAGTGTTGGCAGCTTGTTTGCATTTCGAAATCTGGTGGGTGAGGTTACGTGGTTGTACAGAAGGTAGCTGGAAATTAGCTCATGCAAACAGACGTTAAACTGTTCGCTATCGGTTTCTTGCCCTTCCATATTGTGTAGCTTAGGATCTCTGGCAAAAAGAATGTGGCTGTAGGACTTGTTCAAGGCAACCATTTCCGACGTAGAGTTCGGTGAGCGGCACGTTACGGCTAGTAGACATGTGTCCTTGTTCCACAATCGCAGCCTGTACGAAAGCGAATCAGGGGCGCTGATTTCTGGGTTCTCAATAACTTTACATCGGGTGTTTGCATTACAGTAAAGAAGTACACCACTACCTCACCAGTTCTATCGTTTCGGGATAGCAATACACTGGCTAACTTGCTTTCAAAGGCAGCTATCACAACTTTTAACCTCCTTGGCGGTAAATTGAAATTTTTGAGCGTGCTGTCATTTTGAGGTTTTACTTTCAAAGGACAGTTCTGGAACAGTGTTTACAGGTGTCGTGCAAAAAATGGGACTTTTGTCAAATTTCGCTTGATCCAAAGAATTTTGGATCATCGTTTTTCCCCGGATTACGTCGTACCCGTTTTCGGGTACTTACCAACGTCGTCCATCTTTTTCGGGTTCAGCCTCTGGCTATTTTCCGGTATTTTTGTGTTTTGTAATCCGTTTTGCACCTTGTTTAACCCATAACTGTTTCTGTTGACTGCCCTGCAGGTAACAGCTTGTCGGTTTTACGTTTTGATACTTGTTCCACACTCCTTGAAAGCGTCATGTCGGATTCACTGAATAGCAACGCTAATGTATCTTCGGCTGCATTGCTCAGCGAATCTAATGCTGTATGTGGCAGCGGGAGCTGTTCAAAGCCCGTGACGGACGAATCTGGTGGCATGCAGTGCTATGTATGCAACTGCTGGTACCATGAGACCTGCACCGATTTGAGCCCTGATCAGTACGCAATGCTTTCGTCTAGCGATAGCATGCTGTTCAATTGTCTTCTATGCCGTCGCCGTCGATTTACGCCTCTTGAGGTCACTGAGGAGACATCGAGCAACGTCGGGCTGGGTAACCAGCAGTTGTGGTCTTTCCTCAAATCTCTTGATCGGAAAGTGGAGTTACTGATGAGAAATATGGGAGTCTCTATTGATGTCGGCTCATTGAAGGAAGACACGCAACTAAGCTCAATTGCTGTCGATGGAAATCCGACTGAGGTGATGTCTACCTTGTCGTGTGTCCCAGCGGTCCAGAATGCCTCTAAAGAGGCCTCTGATGTCGTACTGGAAGCCGTCCAAAGCGTGACCGAACTTATTGCCCCTGAGCCCAATAAAAGCAGGAGGAAGAGGGCTAAGAAAGTCCCTAAGGCTGCCTCAAAGCCTGAAGGTACTGAAAGCATTAAGGTATTGGAGGTGGAACACAAAACTCCAACTCCAATCACCCCAGTTCCATTGGCGAAGCAACGCGCGGTGTCGACTTCGGCCACACCCGCAAAGCCTGAAAAGACTAGACCGGTGAGGGAGTTGGAGGCAGAGGATAAAGTCTCAACCTCAATTACTCCAGCTCACTTGGCGAAGCAACGCGCCGTGTCATCCGCCAAACCGGTCGAAACTGAGGTCTCGTCGAAGACGCGTGGAGTGAATACGCCTCGTCGAGGTGATTCTTTTACTGATAGTAGCGTTATCTTTCGTAACGTTGCTGAA